AGTTGGTGAGTTTCCCTTGAGTCTCCTTCTTGCCGTTGAGGAAGATTGTCCACGTGTATCTTGAGTAATCATCAACTACCACAAGGACATATTTCTTTCCACTTAGACTTATTGGTGTAACAGGGCCAAATAAGTCCATGTGAATAAGACTTAATATCCTTGTAGTTGAGGGTGCCGATTTTGCCTTGAAGGTGGACTTGACCTGCTTTCCTTTCTGGCAAGCATCACAAATACTTTCCTTTCTGAAAGCAGTTTTGGGAAGACCTTCTACTAACCCTTCTTTGGACAGCTTGTTGAGGGTTTTGAAGTTGAGATGACTCAACCTCTTATGCCAAAGCCATAGAAGGTTAGTGTCACCTTTGCTGATTAGACATGCTTCCTTGACATTATCCCACATCACTTCATAGATGTTTCTGATTCTCTTCCCAGTGAGAATGACTTCATTTGTGGAGATGTTATTGAGAGATGCCATGTCCTTGCAGAATTCCAAGGAATAACCTTTATCACAAAACTGACTTATGCTAAGAAGGTTATAATTGAGACCTTCTACATAAGAAACAGCTTGGATGGTTAGTCCCTTGTACACCAGATTTCCTAGCCCTTTGGTAAGGCCAAAATCATTGCTTCCTCCAAAAGTAACTCTTGGACCATCATAGGGAATTAGATTGCTCAAAAGGCTCGCATCACCCGTCATGTGTCTTGAACAGCCACTATCTAAGTACCAGACACCTGGGTACTTAGTGGCTTTCTAAACTTTTGGTACCCAATTAAGTTTGGGTCCGGAGTAGTTAATGGTGTGTGTCCCTACATCAAGTTTGAAGTTGCAGGGAATTTTCCTTGCAGCTCTAAACTTGTTGGGATTGTAATCATAGTTGTAGGCATAAAACTTCCTACGTGCAGGAGGTGTAATTTCCTGTTTCCTCCTAGCAAACCTAGGTTGGTAAGACCTATAGTTTTGTCTAGGTTGTGCATAGTGTGGTCTGTGTCGGTTATAAGCATACTTAGGAGGCACAGATAATTTCTGGGGTGGAGGATGACTATATCTTGGCATAGTTCTCCATTCAGAATTTCTTGGAAAACTCATATCTACCCCATAATGAGTATAGCCTCGTGTATAATGGGGATTAGAAGGTTTTCTTCTGAAATTATTTCCTTTTTGAGGTTTGTCCAGCTTCCTATAGTTATTAGGAGGGACTACCTTTTTGGGAACTTCCGTTGGTTTCTCCTTTTCCTTTCCTTTCTGCTTATTTGGTTTAGCAGTAGGTTTAGGAGGGATGAAAGTTGTTTTCCCTTTCCTTTTAGAACTAGAGGGATCAAACCCAAGTCCTTTACGACCCTTATTGTTGGTCGTTTCAAGAAGCTTATCTACTGCTTCCTTAGACTTAAGTATCCCTAGTTCTTTGTTAAGGGATTTCACCTTTTCAGAGAGAGATTCATTTGCAGTCTTAAGTTCAGTGATCTCATGCAGTTGACTTTTCCGACCTTCAGTCAACATGAGATTCTCTTCACTCAATAGTTTGTTCTCCTCTGTTAAGGAAGAATGTTTGAGATTTATTTCCTCAAAATCTACCATCATCTTTTTGAACTAGTCAAAAAGATTTTCAGAAGTTGGTATGCTTTCATAAGAAGATGAGCAGGAGGTTTGTGAAGTTACCTCTTGATCAGCATCATCTTTGGCCATTAGGCAGAGAGTGTCATCTTCTGACATAGTCCACCTATCCTCATGGTTGGACTTTTCAACTCTGCGCTCCATGCAGACGAGGGCTTCTTCATCCGAGCTTGAGTTGGATGATTCGTCACTCTCAGCAGCAACCATTGCCTTCTTTTTCTTCTCGTTCCTTTCTCTTTCTCCGTACTTCTCCACTTTTGGGTACGGGCATGCTGACTTCCAGTGGCCAGGCTTCCTGCAATTATAACACAAATAAGATTCAGGAGGAGAGTCACTTACCTGTGGCTTTCCCTTGGATGGCCTTCTGACTGAGTCAGCTTTCTTGAAGAAATTCTTGAACTTTCGGAATTGCTTGACCATCATGGAAAATTCCTCATCGTAGTTCTCCATTTTTGAGCTGGACGGCTGGCTGGAGGAAGGTGTGTCACAGCTTCTTGGGCATGTCCCTTCACTTGTTGGGACTCTGGGAGTTGTCATCAGTGCCGTGGGGAAGGGAGTGACTTGTTCTTCCTTCTTCTTCTTCAGCTTGTGCTCATAGGTTCTAAGCTCATCAAGGAGACCTTGGACAGTGTAGTTCTCCAGGTTTCTTCCTTCTTCCATGGCTGTGGCCTTGGTGTACCACTCTGTTGGAAGTGATCTCAGTAACCTTACATTCTTTTCTTTGGGAGAAAGAACGTGGTTAAGTGAGGCAAGATCATTTAAGATTTTGTGGAATCTTTCATCCAACATATCGAATGATTCTTCAGGAAGCATTTTGAAGCTTTTGAACTTCTCAAGCAGGACTTCTATCTTCTGCTTTCTCAAGTCCTCTGATCCCTCGCATAGCTTCCCAAGACCTTGCCATATCTCCATGGCAGTCTTTAGATGCTTGATTTTGGAGAAGGTGATGGGATCAAGTGTCTTGAAGATGGCTGCTTTGGCGACGTTGTCCAGATTGTGCTTTTTTAATCTCTATCATCCCATTTTTCCTTGGGCTTTGGAATGTACAGGACTACGTCTGGAGTTGCTGGATTCCTCTCAGGATTCTCCATTTGGATTTTCAAGGGTCCATCCTCAAGCACCATCCACATGCAATCATGTAGAGCGTAGAGGTGTGCTTCCATCATGATCTTCCAATCATCATAACCTAGAAGAGAAAACTTGGGCAAACCGTGATCCATATTGTTCACCATTTTGATCGCTTCTCGTTAATCTAAATGTAGATAGTGAGAAGTTTGCTTTGATACCAATTGGTGGTCCCAAAGTGGTGAGATACAAAGTCTAGAGGGGGGGGGGGTGAATAGACTTTGTTACAGATTTAAAATCTTTTTCGTTTCTTTAAAAAACGTGAAAATAAGTGTTAATCTAGAGTTCTTGTAAACTTTAGATTGTGTGCGGAATTTGGTGGGTAGAGTGAGCAGTAATCAATATGGATGGGTTAGTTTTCACAGTTAATATAATTGCTAGTAAGAGTAAAGATAAAAGAGAGAGACACGCAAACTTTAACGAGGTTCGAAGGTGGGGTAACCCTTCTACGTCCTCAAAATCCACTATGTAGTTGGTTGTTGAATAATGAACCAACAATTACACTTGTGTGAATTTCTGCACGGTATATCTTCGCAAGACCAATGTTGCTACTGCACTCGTGCTGGCTTTGCTATTCCTTCCAAGGTCACGCTTCTTCAACAACTGCAAGATCCGAACAATAGGACTTGCAAGATCAACTTGTAAGAAAGTTGACCAACCCCCTTTTTAATCAAGAAGTTTGATAAAAAAGTTGTATCCTTCAACGTGGTGTGGTACTTGAGGCAAGGAAACCTTCAAGTGTTTACACTATAGCTCTTTGGAAGGAGGAGAAGTTTGCTTCTGGATAAGGAGTTTAGAAAATCTCTCTTTATCAAGCTTTTTGGGCTAACTGTGAATGAGATAGCTTTTCTGTTAGAGATTGCTTCGTTCAAAAATTCATACTTCCTCTAGTCTTCCAAGGATGCTATTTATAGCTGGATTGGATAATCTATCCGTTGAATCATAATAGACTATCCGTTGCATTTGCTGGCTTCAATTTTGAATGAAGATTGTGATTTGAAGATTCTTCGTTGCAGTGGGTGTTTGGACGTACCCAATTGTTGAGAAGAGATTCCAATTTCCACAGAATACGTCTTCTAGCTGTTGTTCAAGAATTCTGAACTGTAGCACTTTACTCTGTTTGTCTTCTAGTGCTTGTTTAGGAATTCTGGACAGGCTCTTCAATTTTTAGAGGTCCAGACTTTGTCTTCGAGCTATTTGTTCTTGAATCAGCATAATTATCTTCAATCTAGCCGTTGAGAATCAAGAGATTGATTCTTCCTTACCAACGGGTAGAATTTCTTCATTCAGGACTTAGATAATTTTTCTAAGTATTTTCTCACTTGTCCGCTTTATGAGAATTCCGGTTCTCAGTGAGTCTTCCGATTTTTAGCTGACAAATCCGGAGGAGTCATTCTGAGTCTTCCGGGTGAGAAATAGATACGCGCTAGTCTTCCGATTTGGATGACTTAGGCTTCAGCGGGTTGTAGCGAGACATCCGGTTCTTATGTAGTCTTCCGGATCTGAGGATTTTTGTTTACTTGAGATATCCTTACTTGTCTCTGTCATTTTCGAACAAGATATCCAATTTCCATATCATTGAATTTGATTAAGTCTTCAGGCATCAAAACGCTTAAAGAAATATCACAACTTTATTGGAAATCTCAAGAGCTCGAATTTGACAATATTTCTAAAAAGAAAAATTACATTGAATATTTGGGGGAGGCCTAAAGTCCTTATTACATTCTAATTACATCATCATTAAAATCTATAATATTTTTCCCAACAATTATCTTCAATCTAGCCGTTGAAAATCAAGAGATTTATTTTTCCTTACCAACGGGTAGAATTTCTTCATTCAAGACTTAGATAATTTTCTAAGTCTTTTCTCACTTATCCACTTTTGAGAGTTTCGGTCTTTCTTGAGGCATCCGGTTCTTAGCTGACAAATCCGAAAGAGTTATTCTCAGTCTTCCGGGTGAGAAAGAGATCCGCGCTAGTCTTCCGACTTGGATGACTTAGCCTTCAGCGGAATGTAGCGAGACATCCGGTTATCATGTAGTCTTCCGGATTGGAGGATTTTCATCCGCTTTGAGAAATCCTTACTTGTCTTTGACATTTCCGATCAAGATATCCAATTTCCAAATCACTGAATTTGATTAAGTCTTCAGGCATCAAACCGCTTAAAGAAATATCACAAATTTATTGGAAATCTCAAGAACTCGGTTTTAACAATATTTCTAAAAAGAAAAATTACATTGAATATTGGGGGAGACCTAAAGTCCCTATTACATTCTAAATACATCATCATCAAAATCTATAATATTTTTCCCAACAATTTCCCCCTTTTTGATGATGACAAACAAGTGTTTAAGAGTTCCGGTCGCTGTACTGAGAACTAATTTTATAACTTTCTTTTAGTTTCTCATAATATACAGCTTGTTAACAAAAACTCTTAAACAAATACAATTCAAATTACAATAATTCCTAAACCAAGTCTTGTCTTGAGATTTNATTTGATTAAGTCTTCAGGCATCAAACCGCTTAAAGAAATATCACAACTTTATTGGAAATCTCAAGAACTCGGTTTTAACAATATTTCTAAAAAGAAAAATTACATTGAATATTGGGGGAGACCTAAAGTCCCTATTACATTCTAAATACATCATCATCAAAATCTATAATATTTTTCCCAACAATTTCCCCCTTTTTGATGATGACAAACAAGTGTTTAAGAGTTCCGGTCGCTGTACTGAGAACTAATTTTATAACTTTCTTTTAGTTTCTCATAATATACAGCTTGTTAACAAAAACTCTTAAACAAATACAATTCAAATTACAATAATTCCTAAACCAAGTCTTGTCTTGAGATTTGTGATATTTTCCGCCATTGACTGTTTTGAGCTTCAGCAGATCTTGCTTGGCAGAGCGGATGGCGTTGCGTTTGATAGATCTCTAATATCCAAAGTGGATATTCAAGATCTTGGAAGCAACACATCTCTCAAAAAGCAAAAACAAGAACAAAAAACGAAAGAAAGAAAAAGGAAAAAGGTAAAAAGACAAGAAAGAAAAGGTTTTGGAAAAGAGAATTGATTGCGAAAAAGATAAAATAAGGGTTTTTAAAGATGAAGGGAAAAACAAAAAAATATTTAAAAGAAATTTTGAAAAAGAGTTTTAAAACAAATGTTTGAAAAAGTAATTTTAAAAAAATGTTTGAGAAAAGGGAGCAGAATCCGCAACAAAAAATTTTGAAAAATGCTTGGTTGAAGGGTGCAGAGACTGCCAAAAAAAATAAAGTCCAGAAAGAGAAAGAGAGGGAGGGGAAAGAGATCAAGGTAAAAATAAAAAGAAAATAGAGAGAGAGTTGTTCGAGAGAAAGTGTATGGTGTAATCCTGAAAAATACGAGATTGGCACCATATACTTTCTCTATTGCCGAGATTTGCACCATATACTTTAAATTTCTTTTCTTCTCACTAGGCTTTTCTCCATTGCCGTCTATGAGGGTGAGAAAGAAAACTTTCTCCATTGAGGATATTTTTCTTGGTGTTTTTCTCAGACAATGAGTTTGAAGACTTTTCATGTTGAAAGAGTTGTTTGTGATAGGAATGGATTGGGATGTCTTGATTTGATTAAGAGAGGAGGTAGAGAGAGGGGAGGTTCACGGGTTCCATTAAGTGAGTAGTTGGAACGGTGAGAGTAAATGAGTTTCAATCTCCAAGAAGTTGAATTCTGAAAAGTTGAATGAATCTTTTACCGATTACCAAAGAATTGAAACTGTTCCAATTAGAAAATCAATTTCGTTTGGTTTGAGAAAAGTAACTATTTTAGTTTGGCTAAGCCCAAAAGAGTGGCCCAAAAAAATAATCTTATGCACTAAAGGGAAATTATTCCTATTGGGTTCTCAAGGCCCAAAATAAAACTATCATTTTTCATTCCCTATAGTTCTTATTTCTAATTAGGACGAGGTAGTACCAAAAAGAATATGAAATTTATTTTTAAAAGAAAAGTGATACTATTTTTCCAAAGTCCTGTACATAAAAAAAATCTTAAGGACCAGTACTTTTAGAGCTAGTTGGAAAATGAATTAAGGATTAAAGCTTAGTTTTAAGAAGGCAGATTTTGTAAAGTACCTGAATCGGAGATTTCCAACTTTAGTACTAAAACTGAGATATCTGTCTTCCAATGCTTAGAGCTCATCAATAATTCATTGCCAAAAACAATTGTTAGCCAAAAAATAGTTAAGTTCCCCCTGAATTACATTCCCCCTGAATGTATGCGCTCAGGAATAAATCTCAAAATCATACTTGAGATAGGCATAATCAAGCATAATAAGCACAACTAAGAGAAATATTGAAGCAATGTTTAAACCAATCAAGCAATGTTTAAACAAGAAGGTGTTTTCATCAAAGCAAATTAGTGTTTTCACATACTTTCCCCTTGGTTTGATGAAAAAATCCTTCAGTGCTTCTTGCGCTTTGAAGATCTGGCAATCTCTGATGCCTTGCATGTTTCCACATAGTTCTTTGATGCGCCTTATGTTGTTGCGTCTCTCCTCTGTTTGGTTATCATTTGAGAAGTGGGCAACAATTGTTCCTACAGCCTCTGTTCCATCCAATCCTGAGCTGGATAGATGCTGTGTTGAGTTCTTCGGATTACTTCTCTGAGCGTCAAGGATTAGGTCAGTCATGTTCAGGTGCGAAGGAATATAAGAGACTTCTCCTTCTTTGACTGCAATAGGGAGCTCTGGAATCAAGGATGGACTGTGTTGTTGAAGAATCACTTCCATCTTGCGGTTTCCAGAATTTGTATTAAGAAGTCTGAACAGTTTGAATGCTTCCTTCTGATTATCAATGATCACCTTCAAGTAGTCTTTGGTTACTACCTGATTTGCTGAAGACACTGCCAGAGCTGATATGATGTCCATTTGGAGAAGAGACATTTGCTTCTGTAGGCTGACGGTGACATTTGCTATTTGCTCTTTGATTTTGTTAACCTCCTTGAGTTGAAGATAACTGTCAGATGCATATGTCTCCATCGTGTTGCTCACAGAGTTACTCAATAGAGAGATGATCTATAGAGTTTTATCCACTGATTTGCTTATTTCCTTGAGATCTGAGCTGTGTTTTTCTTCCGATTTCTCCATCAGCTTGTTGTACCTGACTTCCATCTGCTCTATCTCTTGCCTAAAGGAGGCATGTTGAGATGCTAGGGCTGATTCAATCAACCCTTGGACCTTCTTTGTCCAGATTTCCGGTACCTCATCCGGAAGTGTAGGAATGGAAGAGGTATGGAAATGGAAGTTGGTTACCTGATGAGAAGAGGATGTTCTTTGGAAGAGTTGCATAGGAAGAGATTGAGCATCTTCTTCATCAGCAATCCTTAGTGTCCTCTCAGACTCTCCTTCTGCTTCATCAAATATAAAATTTGATATATCCCTAGAGAGGGAGTCTTCAGCTTCATTCTGCTTTTCAAAAACAGCCACTGGAGTTTTAGAGGCCTCCAGTTCTGCCATTTGATCTTCCTTTTCAGCTTCTGTAGAATTCCTTTGGGCTTCTACAGCTTGTTCCTCTTGGACTTCAGTTGTTTCTGGAAAAGTGGACTGCTCCAGAATTTCTCCTAACTTCTCCGGGATCTCAAGTTCAGGCTGGTTGGAGATCTCACAAGCAGTTATGAGAATCTCAAGGACTTGAGACTGGAGATGTTGATGAAGTTCTTCATCTGATGCTTCCTGGTTCTGTTCTTGTGGAGTAGAGACTGCTTTCTCTTGGACAGCTTCAGGCAGAACCGTTTCAAAGGCAGATGAGGTTTCCGGAAATATTTGGAAATCCTCAGCTGTTGCTTCCAAGTCAGCCTGTGCTTCAGAAGTGAGAACCACCTGATCTTCTGTGGCTTTTGAGAAGACTGGCCTGTAGACTGCAGGATCCTCATCATCCACTTCAAATTCTGAAACTGGTGTGGTGGCCAAGTGTTCCAGATGCAAGTCTTCATAGTTCCTTTGCCATACCCAGGCATCATCCAAGATTTGTTCACAGCTGTGGTTGACTGGTAGTCCTAAGCACTTCTTGATGATCTTCTCATTCTTCAGTTGTTGGTCCCAACCTAACAACTGCTCTGCTGAATTTCCAACCTTCCAAGCTCTCCAGTCATAGTAGAGCTGCCAGAATTGGTTATCAGCATCATCTGTTTGGGGTTGAGGTGAGGGGGTTGGAAGACTATGGACTTGATGAGCTTCTTCTTCCAGTTGTTGAGGGCTCTGGTTGTGGGCAGAGGTTTCCTCAGCAGGTTCCTTCTCCTTCAACTCATGCGGGTTGACATTTCCAGATGTTGAGGGAGAGGTAATTTTCCTCTTCTTCTTCCTTTGAAGTTCTCCTTGGATAGAGACTTCTTCTTCTTCTTCAAGATTCATTGGAGCAAGGTTCTGTGGTGCTTCTACACTGAGAGAGGGAGACACCACTTGCTTCCTTTTGGCACTTTTCGTCAAATTGATGAGTGGGACATTGTCTGAAGAACTTTCCTCAGCAGTAGCACTAGCACCTGCTCTGTTTTCCCCTTTTGAAGACAGGTAGTATAGCCAATATCTGGCTCCATACTTCTTCCCTTTAGATGCAGCACCCATAGACTCCAAAATATGTCCAATGTACAGACCTTGACAAAGGTATTTCTGGTTGGGCTTTCCCAGATGCTTTGAGATGGAATTGAAGAAATGTGCAGCTCAGTTTACCTTTGATTTGGTAATGAGAGCGTTGATGATGAAGGCTCTCTCCTGGGTGATGTCATCAGCATGTCCTCCACTTCCACACTCGAGGCATGCGATGACTAGTTCCAGAACGAGTTTGTAGTCGTTGTTCAGGTCTGCTTTCTTCGCTGGGCCAGAAGGAATTTACCTAGAAATTCCAATAATATTCCTGTCCAGATTTTTGACTGGAAATCTCCCAATTTCAGCTCCAGAGTTGGGAAGGTGAAGCTTTTCTCCCAATTTCTTCTCCGAAAGCTTCACTTTGGTCCCTCCAACAATGGACTTGATGACTTGAATCGTCCTCTGTGGGTCCTTCTTTGAATGAACAGTCTTGACCTCTCCATTTCTGTAGAATTCAAGAACTTCTTCTGCATATTTGAGGTGGATCTCCATATGAAGGAATTCGGAGAGTTCTTGAGCGGCTATCATCCCCAGATAGCTTTGATAGAACGCCGGTGAAGAGCATTTGGCTTCCAATTTCTGGAAATGGACATTAGCGCCAACAATCTTCATTCTCTCAGAAATTTGAGTGAGAAAATCTGAAGAATCTGAAGAAATTTTAGGGTTCTTGAGAGAATTCAGAATTCTCGCGAAGAAGACGACGAAAAAATTTGAGTGGGCGGTTGAGATCTGAATAGTGGCGATTGCGTTTGATTTGGGTTGCTTATGCGGCTAGTGGCGATTGAGTTTTTGACTATTCCCAAGGCCACGTGCCTACCCAATATTTTGACAGACGTGGAAAGTAGTCTGCCACGTGTACCGCACTCAGTCTAATTGAATTAGACCAATTTTGTGAAGCAAATCGGAAAACTTGGCTTCACTTAGTGGTTTTGTGAAGATATCCGCCAGTTGTTCTTCAGTTGAGATATACTCAATTTTGATATCTTTCTTTTCCACATGATCTCTGATGAAGTGATGCTTGACATCAATGTGCTTAGTGCGAGAATGNGATGTAGAAATGGAGTTTTGTTTCTTACTGAACCAAGAAACAAGATTTCCACCAATGAATTGACAAGTACCAGATGTACTTTTCCGGTCAACTTTGCATCCGGCAAAGTCAGAATCTGAGTATCCCACTAACTCAAATGAATTGCTCTTAGCATACCACAAACCCATGTTCTGAGTTCCTTTGAGGTATCTAAGAATTCTTTTAGCTGCTATCAGATGACTTTCCTTTGGCTTTGACTGGAATCAGGCACAAACACCTACTGCATATGAGATATCCGGACGGCTTGTAGTAAGGTAGAGTAGAGATCCAACAATTCCTCTGTAGAGAGTTTGATCTACATCCTTTCCATCTACATCCATATCAAGCTTGGTGGATGTACTCATGGGGACAGAAACGGATGACTTCTGATCAACTTTGAATTTCTTGATAAGATCCCTTATGTACTTGGCTTGGTTGATGAGAGTCCCTTCACTTCTCTGTTTGATTTGAAGACCAAGGAAGTAATTGAGTTCCCCCATCATGCTCATCTCAAATTTTCCTTGCATGAGGGTTGAGAACTTGGTGCAGAGATCTTCCTTACTTGAGCCAAATATGATGTCGTCCACATAGATTTGGACTAATAGGAGATCTTATCCATCTTGTAGTTTGAACAGTGTTTTGTCAATGACTCCTTTGGTAAATTCATTGTCTATAAGGAATTGAGACAATGTATCATATCATGTTCTTGGTGCTTGTTTGAGTCCATATAGCGCCTTTTTGAGTCTATACACTTGATCCCCTTTAGTGTGTAACTCAAATCCTAGAGGTTGTTCCACATAAACTTCTTCCTCGAGGTTTCCGTTGAGAAATGCGCTTTTGACATCCATTTGATAGACTTTGAAGTCCTTATGAGCAGCAAAGGCTAGAAACAGCCTTATAGCTTCAAGTCTAGCAACTGGAGCGAAGGTTTCATCAAAATCTATACCTTCTTCTTGACAATATCCTTTGGCAACCAACCGGGCTTTGTTTCTGACAACAACGCCATTTTCATCCATCTTGTTCCGGAAGACCCACTTTGTCCCAATGACATGTTGATGAGTAGGTCTGGGAACAAGTTTCCAGACGTCATTTCTGGAAAATTGGTTGAGTTCTTCTTGCATTGCATTGATCCAATCAGAATCAGCTAGAGCTTCTTCAATATTCTTTGGTTCCACTTGTGAGATGAAACAAGCAAGCATAGCTTCTAGATTCTGTTGGGCACTCCTTGTGCGAAC